CAATTTTTGGACTTTTGTGACTTACATTTAGAGGGGTGGAGACAAAAGAAAAGGGTGCGTTTTCCCTTTTCTTAGATACAGAAAGAATTTTAAGCAGCAGGTAGCTGGGATTGTTCATGCATTCAGACCTTGATTCATTAAATATGAATGAGGGAATGCCTGAAATTAAAAAAAAAAGCTTTCCTTTTCTACCATGAATGACAATGTGGAGCTATAGCTCGTAGAACCTAGCAGTCACACAAGCGAGTACAGTGTAGGGGTTTTGTGCATGTGCTGGGACAATTATTAATTGTAGCAGTAAATCACAAAATGATTCTTTGATGGCTATTAGAAATACAGAAACAATAATACACGAGCGTACATTTACTAATACATAAAATATTAATACATAAAACATAACAGCTCTTATTTTGAGCATTAGCAGAATACAAAAGTTATATATTAAATCACGAAGAGTTACAAATACCAAGAGATAAATACATTCAGTATACTATTTTGTTAATGAGCTTTTTGAGTACAACGTCTACACTAGATACTCAAAAGCAAGTACATCATTCATAGGAATTAAATTGACATCAACTGGGATTGAGGTAACAATTGAATTCTCGAGCTGCAATGTAGAATTTTGAATACTCATCCAATTTATGTGGATTCAAATCTCCCGCGGACACAAAGGAACAGCAACAGGCTGTTGCTGCGTCCATTCGGCGTCCTCTGGCCCAGTGCCAGGCAGCCCTGGTTCGGCTGGAGGTGTGGGAGAAGAAGGGAGAGAATCCTGCTGTGGTGCCTCTGAGAACCAGGCTGAACTAGCAGAGTTTGTGCACCTGAAAAGTGGCTGCAGGTCAGAGCAAGTCACACTCTTTAGACAGGAAGAAGACCGGTTCGTTCCCGATGTAGCACTAGTCCTGAATACTAACAGTTGGGACTTTAGTGTACTCGTTGATCTGGCGACCGTTGATGGTGGGTTACCGGCGGTTCACGAGGCTTGCTGCTGGGCTAAGCTCGGGCAGATCCTTTGGTTACGCGCGGGCGACCTCTGGTCTTGACTCTTAGAACAAAGTAAAGTCCTGGCACTCGGACACACTGGCTGTCACGTGATCGTCCAAGCTGAGTCTGAGAACGACCTGGAGGGGCACCCTCTGGGCCCTGTGCTACCTCTTTTATCTGGAGGAACTATGGTTCATCATTGAACTTCAAAGTTTTGCGGGCATTCGAGACCCATGTGGAGTTACCCTGCCCTACCAGTTCCTGATTGGCTGATCAAGGTGGAGGATGAGTAACAATGCTCTCTGACCTTAGGGTTGTAGACAACCTGGGATGAGACTCTCCCTTGGAATCTTCCTGACAGAAAGGCGCCAGAGATGAACATTCATTAGGGAGGCTGGAGAACCTCAGCCCAGGGAGTTGTTCCTTATCAGGAAACTCTATCAGACAGAAAAACACGTTAAATCAGAACCACATGGAATGGTCTGTCTGTATCCAGCACCACAGAAATGAGGGAGAGAGACTGGCAAGGGGGAAGGCAAACTTAATTCCTGTATTATTAATAAGCATTGCCGCTACAACAGTAACCTTTCTGTTTGAGGACAGCACAGAGATGAAGAAAGCAGATGTCGGAATGCGCTTACAGATGTAAACTGGTATCAAATGCTTATCACAAGTCACTAAAGAAGGAGAAAGTTGGGCAGTTTGTTTCCAGACCAGTTTTTGTTTCAAATGCATTTGAAGTGCTGTTCAAATAGTTTGAAGATTGTATTGGCCCTAATTTGCCAAGATGAGCTAATTACTAATTACTCTAACATCCTGATACTATATCTGTGTAAAGGTGACAGGTGGTAAAGAACATCATGCAGGCCTTGATTTGGTGAACAGTGGCAATTAAACACATTTAAACAGAACTTCATTTTCTTGGGTTTCCATGGCTGGTTCATACTAAAGTATGGGTCTATGCATCTCTGGAACGTTGAAGTCACAGAATTATTATTGAACCCTTGCAGTTCAATAGAATAAAAAAGCATTAAGTTGTAAGTATGGAGAAAAAAAAATCCAAATCAAATACAAATATCTAGTTGTGTTATTGTAGCTGAGGCTGTAAAGCTTGAGTGTGTTGACCTCATCCTGACTAATTTTAGAAGTGAATGAGGAAGCTTTCACAAAATAAGGTGTAATGTGTTGCAAGAGACATAGGACTGAACTTTGTCGCTTTTGCCTGTCAGTTGTGACAGGTTATCATTGTAGATTTAAAGCAGATATCAAGTAGATAGACAGAGTATGGGACTGCAGGGTCCTAAGTCTGATAGAAAAAGGTTTTAATTAAAAACCAAGCTTACATTGTTTCAAAGGGCATTACGTATCCCTTCAATCCCCATTTTTTGTTGGTAGTTCTCAAAGTAGTTATATTGACCTCCCATGCTTTTGCAAGAACCTTATCACCCTTTTTTTAAGTTCCACGTCATGCATGTCACAAGATAGGTATTTCAGAACCGTATACTTGGTATCATAGCCGCAACAATGAGCTTTATTGTTTGTAATTTGCTGCTGTCTTACTATGCCGAGCACAAGCTATGTCCTAGAAATACCGCGCATTGCAGAATAGATATTTTCTGTCTGTGAATCTCTAGAGTGTCCATATTCAATTAAAAATTGATAGGAGAAATGTATGAAATATGAAGAGGTGTGCAATGGAGAAGCACAATAGAAAGACCACGCTTTGATCACATTTAATTGTGCCTCCTTTCATTTTTGATGTACATGAAACACTCTTTAATTAGCCGACAATTACTAGGAGTGATTGAACTGAAGATTATTTCCAAGGAAAGGGAAAAGGTGGTTACGTTTCACCCAAAGTAAATTAATATACTTTAGCTTTTGACTAAATGCGTTTTACTATAACTCTGGGCAGAGGTGGAAAGATTATAATTATTTGGAAGGTAAAGTAGTTTTCCTTTGAAGTGTGTTTGTAGATTTATGACTGCTTGACCATGGGAATTTCACTTGGTTTGCAAGGTTACTGAGTCATGTTTTTCTGGTTGTACAGGTGCTGAGTCTTTGAATCGGGACTGGGAACAGTTAATTTCTTGCCGATGACTACTTTCCAGTGATTAAAAGTGATCATTCGAAATGTGTTTCTCAGTGATTGTACACAGTAATTTGAACAAACCCAGCTTTTCAAATGCAAGGCTCAGATGGGCATGGCTCTGCATGTGAACCCAGAGCTCAAAAATACATACATCTGTTATCAGACAGCTGCACAACATATGTCTGGTATTAGAAAAGCACCCTTTTCCAAGTATGAGGCATGGAAACGTGGAGCCTGTCATCTATCATGTAAAAAGGCGCCATCCTTTCAGAAGGCCCCGACTCATTACTAATCCCATGGAATTTCTCAAAAAGAGTAGGGATGTTGCTTAGCCTGGTGTCTTGGCCAAATTTCTCCTGGCTTTTACCAGTCATATTCTCCTAATAACCCCCATCTCTGAACTGGTTTCATCACTCTGTTCTCCTCCTTACTGATAGCTGGAGTGTGGTGAATGTTCTGCCGCACTTTGGCTGCCATGATCATCACATTGGTGATGGTGGAGGGGAGTCCCCATTACGTGTAAAGCACTTTGAGTTGAGTGTCCTTTAAGCATAAGGAATATTATCATTGTCGTCTTCATCATCATCATGCCACCATGTCACTGACTCTTAAAACATATACAACAGTCTTACATTTTGAAATACAATTTTTCAAAATGATAAATGGTAATATACCTTAAAAATGCAAGCTATCTTCATGCTCTGTGTTCTGTAAGGAGTAAAAAGTCATTAAGTAAAAGAAGCAGAATTTGTATTACAACATCACCCCCTTGAGCCCTTTAGAAGTGGTACAAAGGCAAAGAGCTTCAGAGTGTATATCTTGACCTGTAGTGCCATCTGCTGATAGAAGATAGGTTATTTTACCTAAAAACTCAATGAGAAAGGTGAAAGGAGGCACCAGATGTTTTTTTTTTTGTAATACTGGTACTTTTTTAGATGCAGAAGGGAGTGGCATTAAGTAAAAAGTCTTAGAGCCCAGTTTTTTCTGAAATGTGTCACATAAGACACCCAGGTCCTAGCATCCTCAATGAGAACAATGCATGAGAAGTTCATTTCGTGCAGTGTGGAGGTTTTCTTTACCAGATTTTTTTTTATAATATCATATATCAGTCTCTGATAAACATTGGTGTTAGAGACCAGAAAGCCGTGACATGTTGTGAAATGACGTACAAAGGGACATTTTTCCTCATGAGAACAATGTAATAATGTAGGGTTTGGGACTGGAATCTTGGAAGAGCATGAACTTTGCCCATGCAACTTAAAGTGGGAGGGTTTTCCCATAAGATTGAATGGACTAGGGTGGGGTTGGGGACCATAAATTAAATTTAGTGTCTGTGTTCACTTGTAGCTAACCAAATACAGTATAGGGGGATCATTAGTAGACAGGCTACATTAATAAATATCGCAACATCACAAAATGACTTAGGCAAAGGGAATAAGGACAAAAGAAAAAAATGAACTACATTTCCAACCCACAGTAGAGACAGGTTTTACCTTTAATATCCCCGCAATCCATAAAAAAAAAAAAAACAGAAGTAGAAATAAATAGCGTTAGAACTCCTTTCGGTTTCTGGTTTCATCAAAACCAACACAGTTATTCTCTGATTTAGGGTAGATTTTTTTCCACCATTTAAAGTTGGTTAGATCAGTTATGTAATGCATGGTGGCAAGAGTGGCAGAACGTTCTTTAATGTTTAAATGTGCAAGCATTTATCTGCGTGTGGTACAGAGCTGGTTGAGTAAGCCGTCGTCGCTCTGTATTAGTTATGTGGCTCTCTCGCGTTCTTAGTCCCTCCCTGTGATCACTGTGCTGCTCACTCTGCTGTCCTCTGCTCATCTCTAGTGGGTAGTTTCCTTTGGGTGTTCTTATTGTCTCACTGACTTTCTCTCTCTCCTGCCCTTCGCTTCTTCCCTTTCAACAGACTCTCAAGCGGCTGATTCCAGATGAGGTAGGAGTGCAGTCCTGATTTTGCTCCTTGCCCTTCGCTCGTCGCCCTTGTGCCCTCGTCTCTTTACTAACCCCTCCTTCGATCCCGTAACAAAATTAAAGAGCCTGCGCCTTTTTTTTTTTGCAAGTGCATGCCCCTTCATTGTTGGATCCCTTGGTTCGGTCAATGTCTTTTCCCGAGTCCTCTGCCTCCGGGGAACATTAGGCGGTTATTTGGCTTCAGCTGCAATGCTACACCCTTCACTGACATGGCATTCACATGACATGACATTCATTCAAATGCTCACAGCATCGGAGTTCTTCTCGATGGCTGTCAGCATTTCCTCATCGCTTTCTCTGCTTTCGTCTAACGCCCCGTTAAGATGGGCTTTTATGGAAAAGTCCCATTTTTATGTTGACTTGCAAAAGCAGGAGTTGACCAGGTAAGTAAAGGGAGCAGATGCTATAGTACAGGTGAGTTGAACAGCAAGCAAGTATTTAGGCTTCATGCGAAGTATTTCCCTGAGCTCTGTGCACTTTTGGGTTCTCATTGCCTATAAAGATCTAGCCGGCTTTTGTAGTTGGGGGGGTTTGTTGGTGAGTAAACATTTGAGATCATTTCCAGATGTCTTTGTTTGAAAAAAGTAAACTTTTTTTGAAAAATGTGAACTGTTCTAGGAAGCTAGATGAGCTAAATTGTTTTTTAAACATTTTTTTCCTTGGTGAAACCTTAATATATACATACTTGGCTTTCAGGTGATGGGAATCCATTTTTCTTTTCGAGAAGGACAGTTCTAGAATCTGTCATTCAAGGTTTTGACCTTGAATAATATTTAGTGGCAATTTAGCTATGCGTCATGTACCAGAATCCTTCTGAAGGAATTTCATGTTTCAAATTCCAGTAATTGTAAGTGAAGCCTAAACTTTGATGTTTATAGCGCTGTACAGTATATAACACAATTCACCGATATATATATATAAACACTGTTATATACAGTACTTGCAGTGCTGCAATTTCCCTCACAGGATCAATATCTATCAACTTGTGGTATAAAGTACATATTTTCAGTTGTTTCGCCACCTGGTGGACAAACGGGTAACTGAGGTGTGCATTGATTGTTCTAATGTCTACCCGTTCCTCACCACCACCCCTCACACAGCTGGAGAGGTTCACCAGCATGAGGATGAAGAAGGACAAAGAGAAGCCACACATCCCCAGCCATCGGCACTCTTCTGCAGCCCATTACGAGGTTCCGGCCCAGGCTGCCATGTTGCACGACCACCCTGATGATTACGTGCTGGAGCTCTTTGAGCAGATGCTGGTGAGTCTCTCTGAACTTCCTCCTGTCCTGTGTGGCCTGGTACTGTGGGTCAGATCTTGTCTGTTCTCGTAGGGTTAGGGAAGAAAATGCCAAAAGAGGGATGCTCTTTACAAGGCTCACAAAAATAGCAATTAGCAGCTGCAGGGTCTACATTGTTGGGGCTTTTCCACCACATTTAGATAGATAATAATTTATTAATCCCGTAGGGAAACTGATGAAATTGATGATTTAAGCTGCATGTTTATGTTATAGTCTTTATTCGTACCTATCAAACATTCTTCTCTTGTTTCGTATAAAACCTAGCCAACCCAAGATTCTGAATTGGAAATCTGAAGTGAACGTTAAAACATGTTCATAAAATAGCAGCAGACTTCCTTTTCAGACACTGTGCAGCTTGCGGGAAGATACAAACAGGATGTTGTATTTGTTTTGCCTTCTATATATTTATAAATATCCTTTTATGATTTAATCTACTTAGCACCCTGTTAGTACTCTTTGTCAGTGTTTTGTCTGAGCACACTTTAAACTAATGCAACAGTTTTGATGTTTCCAGTGAAATCTTTGGTGCTGAAATGAAGGTTTAGTATATGGGGGGGTCCATGTTTTGTAAATGTTGCAAAACTAGATAATAGGCTTTGGTAGTTTGGTATTTGAAAAAAGGTGTTTAAAGCACTTGATGTAGTCATCTGTACCCCAAATGAATGTAAGGAACTCTTGTGAGGAACCATTCCTGGTGTTTTGCAGGTGGATATGAATCTGAATGAGGAGAAGCAGCAGCCTCTGAGAGAGAAGGACATTGCTATTAAGAGGGAAATGGTCTCCCAGTACCTACACACCTCAAAAGCTGTAAGTCTCAAACTCAGGCTTGTCTCCATAAGTCCCGTCATATTCCAGCTGTGAACAGAAGGGAAATGTCTAAGCTAAAACATAATCTTAACTGAACCTTTGCATTTGCTGATCCCTCGTTAAACCCAAGGACAACAGGCAGGATTAGTCAAACCCTTAATATACCAGCAGAATATCGATTGTGAAAATTGGATTAAGAAAAGATGTTGTACCTTGAATATGTTAATGATTAGGATGTAAATGTGAAGAAGAATGGTGCAAAAGATATTACAAATGCAGAGATGTGTCTAAAATCAATTAAATGTTTGTTTTCATTGTTTAAGAAAAAGGACCACTTGTTATGGGTTTTAATATTAGGCTTGCACATGTACGAGTGGCTTTTTAAAATAACGGGGAGTTATGTAGTTTGTATTTGTCTCTTGACTCCATTTATTATGGGTATGGTCAGCTCGTAGTGCTGCTTCACAATAGTGCTGCTTCACTGGCGTCCAGGGTTTGAGTCTGGCCTTGGGCTGCTGTCTGCGTGAAATCTTCCTGAAAAAAATTGTGAAGTGTTTCCTTTATGGGTGCTCCAGCTTCTTCCCTCAGCCCAAAGAAATCCTGCCTAGATTGGCTATTCTATAATACCTCTTTCTCCATGACCCTGCAATGGCCTGCTGTTTCTCCAGTAGCTGTAAACGTTCAGTCCTGCCTGCTGCCTTGTTTCTGTGACAGGCCCTGGGTTACTCCCTTTCTCACCTGAGAAAATGGCTTATGATATGGTAAAGGCTGTTCAAAACAATACATTAACATATTGCTGATTAATTAGAACTTGCACAGCTATTTTTAGAACTGGTTTAGGAGTCTTTGGCTATTACCAGTACTGTGCCCTTCAGAACAGAGGTACAGATTACCCAATTTAAAAATAAACGGATTCAACTTCTCATTTCTACCTGTGGCCATAGCCTTGCTCAACAGTTCATTCTTTTGTTCTTATGTGTATTGTGTTTTTGTGTGTTTTTTTATATTGTCTGCAGTTGTAAAATACATTTTCCCTTTCTTTTTTTTTTCCAGGGCCAAAGTCAGAAAGAGAGTTCAAAGTCAGCTGTGATGTACATCCAGGAGTTGAAGATGGAGCTAAGAGAAAATCAGTTGCTCAGCTGTCTGGAATCTTTGCGAGTTTCTCTCAGCAACAATCCAGTCAGGTAAAGCAATTAACAAAGCTCAAGTAACCAAATAATTGAACTCTGGGGAGGTTTTATTCTTTACTTCACAGCTGTTAGCCATAGATATTAACACCATCCAACTGCTTTAGAAACTTGATTTAAGATACCACATGGAATGTAGAATGTATCTGTGCAATCAGTTAATTCAAGTACGTTAAATTAATCAAGGCTGTTTTGAAGGTTAAGAACTTTTTGCACAGCTGTTCATTTACATTCACAGGTTTTGATTTTTACAAGCAAGGAGTTTTATTTTCATTTTTGCAGTGCAGCCAGGGACATTGCCAGTATTGAGAAATTTATAATGAAATTTCTCTTTACTTTCCATCACTGGTAAAGCACACCAGTATCCATTCACAAAATGAAATAGTTTTGTTGTTTGTTTTTAATGCAGATACTGGAGATAGAAATGTGCCTCGAATAGATTTGATAATGTTCTGTCATTCATTGTGGATCTAAAGTTGAAGGACAATAAATCTGGAGTAATTAGTGAATTAACCATGAATGTTTCCTTTGATTTTTTTAAAACTGTTTTGTTTTAGCAAAACTGTTCTCACAGTTATTTCATTCTTGTTTTCTAGCTGGGTTCAGACATTTGGCAATGAAGGGCTGGCACTTCTGCTGGATATTTTGAAGAAGCTGCAAGATGACAAGGAGGAATCCTATACGTAAATATCTCTTTATTTAGTATGGATTAATTTCATTTTAACTTTCTGAAAGTCTGCAAGGTGTTTATTAAAATAGAAGTATATTACATAATTTCATTTCATTGTTGTTCTTTTGCAGAAATATCAGTGTTAAGTGTCAACATGAAATTATCAGGTGCCTAAAAGCTTTCATGAACAACAAGGTAAATAACTATTAATTGCTTAATATATTGTCTAGTCATTTCCTGCTAATTAGTCTTACATTTGTGTTTTAGTTTTCCCGATCCCCATGGCGAATCTTATTACTTGTGCAGTGCAATTCATCTTAAGTTTATTACCTTGTGTTTTAAAATTATGTGAAGATCATTGATTACTACATTTACTGTTTTTTTTAACTGAACTTCCTAGGCTTATTGCAAACTTGTCTTACACATGAAATCGGCGTTTTTTGTCCAGTCCTTGGTCAAGGTGTAGATGTAAAAATGCAGATGTGTTGTTTTTTCCTGGTCAGTTTGGTTTGAAAGCCATGCTGAATTCAGATAACGGAATCAGGCTCCTTGTCCAAGCCATTGACCCCCGTGTTCCTCACATGATGGTGGATGCTGTGAAATTGCTGTCGGCCATCTGCATCTTGGAACAACCTGAAAACCTGTAAGTGCTCCTTTGCCGTAGCAACTTTCTTGTTTTCAGTTGAGGAATCTCGGTAAACAGAATACTTTTGTAGGTATAGGTATGTATTTTTAAATTATAGTACATTGATTGGATCATCCGAATCAAAATCAACTTTATCATCCACATAAAGTGGAAAATTTCCTTTGGCCTCACTGAGACATCAAATTTTCAATTGGCCCTCACCAATCATGGCCTCCTAATAATCCCCCTCTGTGAATTGGCTACATTACTCTGCTCTCCTCCCCACTGATAGCTGATGTGTGGTGAGCGTTCTGGCGCCCTATGGCTGCCGTCGCATCACCAGGTGGATGCTGCACATTGGTGGTGGTGGAGGGGAGACCCCATTACCTGTAAAGCGCTTTGAGTGGAGTGTCCAGAAAAGCGCTATATAAGTGTAAGCAATTATTATTATTATTAATTATCAATGGTAAAATACATAAGACATCATGTGGATTTTATAAAATGGATACAATCAATGCAATATGATTAACAATACAATACAAAAACATAAGATTCAAGTGTTACACAGTCAATATAGTGCTTAGAAAGGGATTATATATCAGAGTTATAAGAGCAGTGTACTCAGAATGAATGACTTAAAGTTTTTTGTAGCCTTTGGTACTCTAAAATGTTGGTAAAAAGTAAATAGTTTTTCAAAATGAAGGTGTATGTTGGTGCGAGGAATAATTACAGTTATCATTGCTTAACTCCTAGAGTGGTTCAGCTGGTTCTATTTCTGGCCAATATTTTTGCAATCCACTAATTTGTCAATGTTCCCTCCTTTCCTGTGAACCCTGTTGTTTTATGCAGCATAAATTACACTCTGTGGCTCTAAGAATGAATTTGCAGCGCCTTATCCAGGTGTAAACTTACTGCAGTTTAATAAATCTCCCTTTTTTGTTTAAACAAATTCAGCCATGAACGTGTGCTGGAAGCTATTACAGAAAATGCTGAAGAATTAGACTGTGAACGGTTCCAGCCTTTGCTATCAGGAATGAACAAGCCAATGGTGGCTCTGAAGGTAATGACTGACGTAGAGTACTTTATACCAGAATCTATTCATTGCCAGTCATGCTCTAAACTCTTCTTTAGCTTATTGACTCTACCTGCATGTTCAGTTATGTCTCTTCATGAAGTCCTAATGGGTATTAAGTTTATTTTTCACAAGCAGTTGCCCTAAAGCCAACAATAACTTTGTTAGGTTTATTACTCCAGAGATAAATGTATGTGCACTGCCTTATCAATTTAACTTGACAGTGCTTTGTCAGTGTTTGCTAACAGCACTGTACCAAGAGACTTTCAAGTTAGATTTCATTTGTGAGCAAAATAATTCTGAAACTGTGATAACCTTTCCCATGTACTGTACATCCAGGTTTAATTACATCTATGTGGTGCTGTTCCCCCCAGACTGTGTGTATGCAGCTCATTAATGCCCTGATTATTAGAGGTGAAGAGCTGGACTTCAGAATCCACATCCGGAGTGAGCTGATGAGACTGGGACTGAGGGATATTTTGAAGGTATTTTTTGCAGAGGTTCTACTTAATGCATCATATTTTTTGTAAGAGATTAAAATTGAAGGTATTCGCATTACAATTTAAATCAAAGACTCTTGCAGCATTCAGATAAGAGGATTTTATTTAAAAAACTGAAGTGATTGGTACACACTCAGTTTGAACTGCAGTGTCGACTTAAATGCCACTTTTTTAAAGTTAGAAAATTAAGAATCTACAATGCAGCCAAGAATCTACAATGCTATTATTCAAACAGCATTTTAATGAGCAATGTTGTTTAGCTATTCTGAATGATTAGATTTAAGATTGTAAACTGACACTTGTTTTTTTTTTTCTTAAAACAAGGAAGCTCATTTGATTGAGAATGAGGAGCTGAAAGTGCAGCTGATTGTGTTTAATGATCTTGCGGAAGATGACTCCGAAGATCTCCGTGCCAGATTGGAAGATGTCCGAATTGAGATGGAATATCCTTTTTCTCCATTTACTGTGGCAAGCTGCAGTACATCATGTGGGCATTCAGTAGAATAAATTGTCTGGGGAGATATGCTTGAAGTCCAACTTTCTTTAGAGATTTCACTTAACATTTCTATTACAGAAAAACCCTTTTAACTATGGTTAAACCTACAGATTATGAGAGAAAATCACTTGGTAGTTTCGAGGTGCTGTCTCAGGTACTGTAGGGTTACAACAACATTTTCAGCAGACAGAACTTGCCACGAGAGCACACAGAACAGTATGCTTAAAATCTTTTGTCTTAACTTTTCCCACCATCCTAACACCACCCTATTTTTGTGCATTTTTTCCACTTTAAGTTCAGGGTCAATAACCCTGTAATTGAGCCTGTAAATGGAAGAAGTAAACCTTAAATATTTTTTGTAATTTCTGGATTCCATTTATTTATGTAATTGGCCCTTGTTTTAATTTGCTTCTACTTTTGCTTTTTTATCTTTACATGTTTTCTGCATTTACACATTTAGCCACCAGGTGGCTCCCAGAACATATATTGGCAATTTAGTGGAGATTTGAGAGTAAAAAACACTTTAAATTCCTGGGTTAACCCATATGCATGTTATTCTGGTCAATTTTGGTCATAATGACTCGATATAAATGCATAAGAGGAATTATCAGATTAGCTGATATTATTAGGTCATAATTTTATAACAATAAATGGTATAAATTGTGAATCAGATAAATTGCAGTTTTCATCTACATCTGCTAGTAGTTAAAGCCAGATCACAATGCTAATGTGTTTTAAATAGGAGAAAAACAGTCTTCGGTTTTTTTCAGTCTTGTCAGTTTTTGTAAGCTTAGCTCATTTTCAGACCCTCCCACAAAAAATAAAATATAAAACATTTTTTATTTTTTTTTTAGAATAAGATTGTCGAACATACTAAAGAGTACAGACGTCACATTTTGCTTGACCCCCTCAGAAAGCTATATTTATCTGTAAAAGTCCTAAATTGGTCTACTTCATAGTACTGCACTGTGATTTACAAATATATTGGTATAGATTTTAACAGTAAAATAAGGCTTATTTTAAAATATGGTTTATTTCAGAAAACCCGTTCTTTTAAAGCTAATAATGCACAAATAAAAACCCAGTGAGCATTGATTGAGCTTGCTTTAAAAAAAACCTATGAAATATTTCAGAATGTGCTAGAGGGCGCCATTTTGCCATTACCTGTTCCTGAGTCTTCACAAATGTATTCTTCATTTTTACACATATTACTTATTTTAATTACACTATCATGTTTTAAAAAATGTCTTCGACCGAGCCAGCCTTTTGGAATAGGAGTAAAAAAAATATATTCTCAGTATAACTATGAAAAGAACTTGGCATGGACAGTGACCATCTGTAAGTAAAAGAGAAGGCTTCCATGCATTTGTTTTTAAGTACAACTGTTCCTCCTGATTACTCAATCTAAATTATTTTCATGCTGATCATTTTTACATGTGGGGGGAAAAAAGCACATTTATTTCCTGACAGGCAGGTATTCATCAGCACAAAGGATCTGTGATTGGACTATTATTCCCTTTTGGCTCTCTCCTCTCCCAGCTGTAGCAGCTCTGCTGAATGCCTTGTCCTCGACAGTCTGTCATATTGGCAATCAACAAAAAGATGGAATTATGGAGAAAGCGTAGGCCGATTTTTCCATGGTCATGGTTAAATATTCATGGGGAACATTTGGATAATATTTCAGAAAAGGACATGTTTTACATTAGGAAGCACACTTTTTTTTTTCTTTTTGATCTTATGTAGCGTACACTGTAGTGAAAGACTGTGGTAACAGCAGATTAGCATTTTTATTTTACATGAATGGTTTTGTTTTTCCAATTTTCTCTAAACAAAGCCCACTTTTTATGAAGCATTTCCAAAAACCGAAAACATGTATATTGTAGATAAAGGTCATTTCTTTGGGTAAGTGTGACTTTAATTGAAATCATTTCTAAAAAATGAAGGGTGGCAGCCAGACTTTTATTCAGTACTGTTTGGTCAATTTTTGGTCAATTTCATGGTGTTACTATACATTTTGTTTTTCTTCGCTAAATGTCCTTAACCACTGGTTCACTGACGTGGCTGAGATTTTCCAGATCCTGATGAACACGGTAAAAGACTCAAAAGCAGAGCCTCACTTCCTGTCAATTCTACAACACCTGCTGCTCATCCGCAATGATTACTCAGTTAGGTAAGAACTGTGAGAAACAATAAATTCCCCTATCATTCTAGAGTGAAACTAGCAGTGCTGACTGAATTGTTGCATATGATAACAATATTACGTCCTTTCTGACATCAGAATGAGGTGCTTTTCCTCTCCATTTTACTCCTCCTTGTGTTCTGAAATATTGAAGTACGATTTACAGAACAAAAAACAGTATTTTTCAGAGTGAAAACTCAAGAGGGGGTATTCAGAATAAAATTGAGATATTGTATCTGTGTACAAAATAGTTACTTTGTTTTTTTGTTCATTTAATTTTTTTTCCGGTTTGTACATGAGATCCAGAATGTCATTTTTTTCCTGAAAACTATTCAGAATAATAAAATGTCCAAATAAATTAAGGAATCGGGATGGGATAGCATCTTTGCCAAAAAGGTCTGCAGTCATTTGTATAGAACTATAAGGTTTAAAAAATCAGTAACAAAGAAAACCACTTTCCTTGATACTGAATTCATCACTATTGAATCTAATAGAAGCTTTTCTTCACATTCGTATGTTTGATTGATTGTCATCAAATTAAGAATTATGCCCGAGGCATTCACTTGAAATGAGAACACAGCCTTAGTGAATTACAGTTGCTTAAATGACTTATAATGAGTAACAGTGTGCTTTGTTTAATTTATAAAGATATGCATATCAAGTGGTTGAGATGGGAGGAAAGAGGAAACCTTCATTTTAATCATGAAATATGAATGTGTGCATTCCTGTCTTGATTACTATATTGCTTTTACTGTATTGTACAAGGCCTGGTAAATAGTGAGTTTTTATAGTTTAGAGCACAAGAAGTTACCTCTTCTATTGCAAGAGCACTTAGATTACTTTTTGTTGCATACCAATTTTATATTCTGCAAACGGATGGAATGATTTCAGGCTTTTTTTTTACTTAAGAGGGGGATAACAGTATATTGGCCTTTCTCCTCCTATTTTAGTGTTTTAAAGTTTTGGTCTCAAAACATCTAGCTTTCCAAACGTGAAGTATATACTGAGCATTTATAGTAACTTATGTCTTGTTTAATTTTAGAGTAAAGTGTACAGACTTTGGATATTGATTAAATGTTTTTGTGTCATTTTGATAGATTTTTCTTAACTGACCAGCCACTTGAGTGGCTTGGCTGCATAAACATCGTGCATAAATTACCTCATTAGCGATAGTTAATTAGGAATAGGAGAAGAGGTGATTAAATCTGGTGAATGTAAAGCCTTGTGAAAATCGAGAAAGAAGAACACAGTCCGGTCTCAAACATGCAAATGACAGAAATATGTTTTTGTGTTTATTCTCAGAGCGTATTGGTTCCTTCCTAAGTTTGGACACTTTCACTTGTTGTCTGGGGTGCTCACAGTCAGCAGTTTCTAGATGCTAGTCAGTCTGTCAGTGATTTAGGAGATCACAATTTATGACACCTCTCCAAGAATGACACATCATTATACCAGTGTGATTGATCAAGCTCTTCGATCTCACTTGCTGCCTTTCCTGTGGGTGCATTCTGACATGACAACATTCTGTCATCTAAGGATTGCAAACACCATTGAGAAGGCACATGCTTATCTAAAAGGTACAAGTGGAAAGGAAGACAATCTCACAAGACGGTGTCTGTGTAGTAGATAAACAGCTTACATAAATTTCAGAAGTGGCCACACACGCTTCTAGTCCATGACTTACATTTTACACTCCCTGCTAATCACCTATGTTGATCACAGATTTTAATCAGCAGAATGAATTTATCCATCAAATCTGATCAATTAATTGTCAGTGTACCTGCTACAAGAAGGACTATAAATTCCCTGGTACCTTTGTGACCACTTACAAGCTATAATTTGCTTTTTGATGATCAATACAGTATATGAAGACTGCAGTGGGAATGCAAAAAAAGCATAATTAACTAAGTTTCATCAAATCTATCGATTGGCAGTATTGACTTTCACTTCTTGCTGGGTTGTGACCAATTTTCAGTTTTACTTCAACTCTCATATCCGTCTTCACTTTGATATTATGTCAGGCAGTCTCTGTGATTCTCAGTGGGACATTGAGCTGTTTTCTTTGCCCATCTCTACATTCCCATCCCTCCATCTTCCTGCTCTTTAATTAATGTCCATCAATAGATATGCTGTCAGCGGGAGTTCAGGTTGAATTAGATCTCTTAACTGTGGAGGTTTTTTCTTTCTAACATCACAGTCCTCCTATGCTACTGATGTTAAGGGGTGTGTGGTGTGTCTATACACCATTAAATTACACCCTTAAATCCCCCCTGTTGTGGTCACGTAGAGTGAAAAAGTGATTGTCATATCCGAACAGGAGTAAAATACGTCTGCTTCCGTACTTTGTCCTCTTAAAGAACTGTCCTCTTAACTGGTAAGAATAGACCTCCTGTTTACTTAGTATCTGCATCTGCCATTTGGAGGCGCATCAACAAAGAAGGGTGCATTCACGCCTTGTCTGGGAAACTTTCCGTTCAGATGGTCTTCGTGCTCATTAATACACCCCTTTCATGGTTCTGTTTATTACGGGAGAGAAGAAACTAGGCTGATGTCTGCTTCAGATTACTTATCGGCAAAACTATTCCAAAAGGTTCTGGAATCTAAGATATTTCTGTTGAAGGGAAAATCCTAAAATCTTACTTTAAAATACTGATTAAACCTCTTCAATTTTTGCTACATGACTTATTGAAATGTGAGAAATATTTTTAGAAATTTCAATCTGTATAGTTGATTATCATTTCCTCCTAGTTTCCATGGAGTACCTAGGTGAGTCTCTGCCTTGTACATCACAGACTGTCATTAAGTCATTAACTTCTCATTTTGTTGAGAATTCAACTAAGGGCAGGCACACACACACACACTTGGAGACACTGAAGGATACAAATGACTTTGAAATGTCAGTTGTCCAGGCTTCTCGGACACTTTGGAAATTAGACCTGCTCCTTTTAATTTTGGGGAAGGATTGTCTGCGGTACTGTGTGATAAATGGGTTAAATGTGGGAGCCACTTTGTGCACTTTTTCATTTGGAAACCTTTATTGAAGCTTTCCAGAGAGCCAGAGTGAATTGCAGGTCTGTTTAATGGGTTTGCAGTGAATGGAGATGGAGAAAGAGTGAGTGAGTGATTTTACCATAGCGATTCCATTACCCCTGAGGTAATACTCCATCACACAATAGGACTGGCCCTAATAGAGTGCAGAGAGACGAAACATCTGAGAAATTAGAGGCAGGAAATACAGCGAGATGGAAAAAAGAATATGGTATTAACTGTTTGCATCTTGGTTAGAGCCAAGAGCTGGCATTCAACACATTGAAATGAAGATTAAAATGAATGTGATGAAAAAAAATAAAGGTCAATATACTTATGACTTAATTACTAAGTTTTTATTATCCTCATCAGTCTGTCAGTTTTGAAGTGCATTGGAAATTATTTGCTAGATTTAGGAATGTTCATGTTGCTAGACTGAACAAATAATGAGTAAAAGTCAAAGCCCTGCCCCCACCCCATACACAAAAACATCAAGAGCAACATAATGCAGCTGTGCTATATTTTGTAAGGAGGTGGATATGAAAATTATGGCAGCTCAATCACAAAACATGAATAGGGAATAAATTGTATGCTCATTTTAGGTATTTTTTTCTGCAGTATAATCATATCAAGAGGGGCAGTGTCATTGAATACAGAAGGATTTGTCTGATAAAATGTGCATAATCCCAGAAATTGCTTTTTCCTAGCAATAAATGGATAGATCAAGCAAATTGATGCAGTCTGTTTAGTATTCAAAGCTCATACTAAGCTATGCATTTCCACAGTTGCCAGATTTTTTTGATTACCTAGGATGGAATCCTTGGTATGTTAGCAAGGTTGTGCAGCCTTGATGGTTTGTAGTGTACTAGGTAATGCTCTGGGTTGGTGTCAGTCAAATGCTGCAATGTGCAACAACAAGGAGTAACATGATGACTCTGATGCTTTAGGCATTACCTTATACAGTCCGTTTCTATATAGGACAGACAATTTAGAATTATGTTTGTACGTTATGTAAGTGTAAGACTTTGGTTTAGGCCTGTGAAAAAAGAGTATGTCTTCTGCATATGAAAAGTTATGTTTTTAAGTAGTGGTTTACCAAATCCAGCTAAAGTTCGTATTATTATTAAGGCCCCTAGATGTCAGTCTTGCTTCACAAAAGAAATATCTTACTGCAACACAGAAAAACGAAAAAAGTTTTTTTATTACTTTTGTACAGGACAGAAAAATGAGAAATAACCAGCAGTTACATTTCTCTGAATGGGTTCTCTCGCACTAGATGTCCCCAGATTAAAAACCTGCAGGCTCTCTAATTTTTACCTGTCATCGTCCGAAGTGCCGATTTTACCACTCAGATTAATGTTCACTTAGAGAACATTACTCAACCACTGTGCTTTTATCCCTTCCTATACCAAATATTTGTTAATTACATCAGTTTCTTTTTGGTGCAGATTCATGTAGGTGGGTGGCGAAAAATAAAGTACAAGGAAGTTGGTCACAAAAAATATTTGTCATTTATTTTAAACATGCTGTTACTGAATAACTGATTGATATACTTTTGTTCAAGCAATGATTTGTTTTCCTTCTCTTTCAGACCTCTATACTACAAGCTCGCAGATGAATGCATTGGTCAGATTGTGTTGCACAAAAATGGTGCTGATCCTGACTTCAAATGTAAAAAGTTTAATCTTGATGTTGATGGATTGATTGGTAAGGCCTATTCCTACTTTTATTCCTAATGTTCCTATTCCACATTTAGGAATGTACAGAACATTAGAGTGGTCAATGTGGCATTCAATGCCAATCAATAACATTGAGATCACATTCAAAATGCACAAATATAAAAAGCAAGAAATACGTAGAAATCTGTTACAAATAAACGTTTCCTAATGGCACCCCTATAGATATTGATTTAAGCTATAGGACCGTATGTCCTGTATCCCATTATGTTTAATTGAATTATTCCAAAAAGTTTATACAATATATTTTCAATGCATGTGTACTGTGCACATACAAGTATTTTGCATAAAAGTAAAATTGGCACTGCATTTGAAACTGTCAGTATTCTAAATATTATCAGTAGGTGGATAACAGATGTTAAATTAAAGCCTGAAAAGTGTGCCCAGGGTGAGCTGAGAGCTCCTCCACCATACTGTTGCATCAATGCATGTTTTTTTTTTTAAGACAAAATTGTTTTGTTGCCATCTTCTTGATTAAACTGGCTCTTGAAGTTCTTTATCAAGATGCCATTCTGGGTCTGAGTCAGGAAACAGCTGCCTCTGGTGTAGCCCAAAAGTGGTCAGATCAAAGCCTTTAAGCGATGCATTAAATTATGGTAAACACAATCTGCTGCGAGTGAGTCATTAGGCATACTTTGTGTACTGCACCATGCCATGCTGTGCATTTGCTTGAACAAATCACATGTGCTTAAATATCTGTGGGGGGAAATGCCTAACTCTTGGCACCTGAAAAATGAGCTTGACTAACAAACACAAACAAGAAAAGCAACAGAGAAAATACAAACAACGAAGCAATACACCTTTTTAACAAACAAAACAGTGGAGCATTTGTCACTCGGTGCTCTGTTTTTGTACTTGTAGTGGAGAGTTAAGTTTTTCTACCAACCAGTTTCAATAAAGGAAAGCAAAGGCGCGATAATCCAGTTTGTGGTGGGGAGAGAGAGAAGCACGTTTTTGTTGGCCTGGTTGAACAAGGTCCAGCTTCCTGTTAATCATTTATAAAAAGTGTAAGCTTCATATTGCTAACCTACATTTTTAGCCTTCCCTCAACAGAGAGGGTAGAATGGCATCGCTGCAGGGAAGCAAACAGATGTTACAAGATGCAAAATAAATGCAGAAGGACAAATCTGAATAATGTGTTTTTTCAGAGTATGTTGGCATCTCTCCCCGTGCATATTCTTTAGTCAGGGGAATGGCCTGTACTATTTGTAAATTAAAATATAGCACAATTAAGTTCTTTAAGACCCCAAGTAGTTCAGATGTAAAATTAAACTCATCAGCTATTGGGGTGCCACCAGTGCCTACCATCCCCAGTTATTTGTAGGGAGATTTTTTCTACAGCCATTGCCGGCAGGTTCTTCAGCCTTGTAGCTACTCCTAATGGATGTCTATTGGCAAATCACACTTGATCCTGCAAGTTTACCTTGACAGCTTTGCTCTGGTTGTAGCCACACTAGAAGCAGACATGGTAGCTGTACTGCTTGAAGCAATGTTGTGCGTCTGTGCTCCTTTCTTTAGGGAAAGGGGTTAAAAGTTTTTCTGGGAACTTTCTATAAAGTTAACTTTGGGAACCACTGCATGATTCATTAAGCAAACTGTGCGTTGAAATATGGATGTTAAGTTGTGTTATATGCTCAGAAATACAACTTCCCAGTGCAACTGAAATGTAATGTTACCAAAATATCTGTAATATTGTTAAATAAAATGTTTCCATTTAAATGTTCTTTTCACTTCTTTAAAAATGTAAAATCCTAATTAGCATATTATGTGTGAATACCAGTCTATGTGATATAACTCGTTTTTATTCCATCTGAGAGTTTAATTCCTGAAATTGCACTGAAATTATTGAGAACATACCAGTGTGAATATCAGTTAATTTTTGGGGACTGCTTCTGTTGCCAGTTGCTACTATAAAATAATCTAATATTATAGTACTTGCTTTTAGAGACACCTCTATTTGAATAGCCTTCATTTCCATGTATACATCTGGTTTTGCCATCACTTAATTCACCTTTTTTATTTTCACAGATAACATGCTTGACCAGACCAAAGTAGAGATGAGTGAAGCAAAAGCAAGTGAACTGGAGAAGAAGGTATAGCTCTCTGACTAGAGAACTAAGTTTCTTTCCTAAAACAAAAAAAACAGCACAAATTGATCCTAATTGTCTGTTCGTTCAAAATTGCCCTTCATGTGTAAAGGTCATTGTTAACAGCTTCCAATTAAAAGTTGTCCGTTTCATTACGGAACCATCTCCCTGACGTGGGGAAAAAAACATTTTGCAGTACAGTTCTCCTGTATGCTTGGTTAGTTCTGCATAGCCACTTTGGTCCAGAGCTACAATTTTCTTCTTCCGTCCAACAGCTTAGAATTTTCTGACATGCCTTTGCCAGTTCCTGCTTTTTCACAGTTGACGATGCTGTGTTTAGAGCAGACTGTTATCCCATTACACTCCATTATCGGTCAAGAGGACGTTTTGCTTCCCTCTGGCTTCACGTGCACTTTCTGATATGCTGCTCGACTTCACTTTATTGAAAGGCTTTCTTGGTTTTAGGAGACCAGAGTGTTTTTCCCTAACCCACCTCCCTCCATAACTTGTTTTGGCAGCTCTGTGCTTCCCAAAACAGGCAGGGTGGTTGTTTTTGGGCATGGGGGTTCGTTTTTTGTGTGACGGCAGCCGATGTTAAATCATATTCGCCTGGTGGGAGCATCCGCGCGGAAGCATCTGTCTCCCATGCGTTGTCACTTAACTGGGAAAAGAGAGGAGAAGAAATCAAAAGGCCGTGCCTGCACTGTGACTGTTTGTTCTGATTATACCTGAGGTTTTCCATTCCCCGTTTCTTTGAGCGACAGGCTGCTTGTGCTGCCTCCCCCAGCCCGTTTCTGTCCCTGGTGGTGTCAGCAGCCTGTGCCTTTAATAAGGAGACTGTCGCATAGCCGGTAGCATCTCGGCACCTCTTTTTCTACCCAGGCCCAGCCACCTTTTAATAGCTCCCCGGGAAAGAAAGGGGTTGACCCTTATCGGGAGATTGCAAGCCGCGTGTTTACTCTCCCCCCCCCCCCCGCCCTTCTCCTTTTTTAATTTAAAAAATAATTCAGCTGTCAGCGGTTGCAAAGATGGGCAAGAGCACTGACGCACGGGCAAGCCCCCTGAAATTTCATTACCAGCCGGCATTTCTCACTCTGATTATAGTGATAATCTGACCTTCCGTTGGTCCTGCCTGATAGGGGATAATTAAATTTGTGACTTGGGATATAATTAGACTGCTGTCAAAGTCACTGAAACATTGTAGATGTGCGTGTTTATATATTTATATATATTTTTTGCTCTCTCATTCTCACACATGGATATTTTTATGCAGTATATCAGAAGTCGTTATGTTTCTGTACTGCGAGTCAGAACTATGTGAATTTCCATTTCCTGTACATTTGGAGTTACAGTGGGAACTGGTGGTTTGGATTCTGGGCTGCTGTGGTCCCCTTGAACAAGTTGCTTCTCTCGGATTGTTTCATTAAATGCTGATTTATACGTAGTTGCTCTGTGATTTGTCACTGTAAATGAGACTTTGTCCTCAGTTTACTTATCTAGTTAAATAAAGAAGTAAAAAATGAACGTATATTGGATCATTCTAGCATACTGAGAATACACCAGGACATGTCGTATCATGAAAATCTGTAATGTTTAATTCTGGCAATGTCTGAGCATAGGACATTCATTTGTTATATTTGTGGGCATATGCAAAATTAATTAACTTGTAAACTGTTTGAATTTCAATAAAATGTGCCCGGTTAATATTACGAGAGGAGATGATTTTAGCCGAGACCCCCCACTGTTACACCATAGACTGAAACTGAAGACGGGGGGGTTAATTGCAATGCTTTTAAAAAGAGATATGAGACCTCATAGTGTCTTGGATCTGTGAGTGCCATTAATTTAACTGTATTCATTCAGATACACTATTTTCATAAGTATACGTACATAAAGTTATTTCACTTTTGTGGAACTGATTTAAGTAAATTGCATTTGAACTGTTTGGGCTCATCTTTAAGATAGCACTAAATGCTTGCCAGGCTTATAAGTTCAAACAAGCTAAAAAACTTGATGTATACTATACTGTGTGGACAGGAATTTTTCTGAGATAGTCATGAGCTAATTATTCGCTTTGTCTTTCTTAGCTTGATGCAGAGCTCACTGCCCGACATGAACTCCAGGTCGAGTTGAAGAAGCTGGAGAATGATTTTGAGCTAAAGGTTCAGGAGCTGAACAAGGAAAAAGACTTGTTAGGATCTGAGAAGCAAGAGAAAGAAAATGAGAATAAGACCCTGCTGAATGAAATTAATGACCTTAAGGAAAAGGTACATTTTATCTTCTTTCCAGAAATGAACAGAAATGGAAAGTAAACTAATCTACAGTTGATGGTTTCCACTGCACTATGGAATAAACTGTTAACACTACATATCACTGAGGCAATGCCCAATTGCTGAAAAACACTTATGTTAGATAAGAGTGTTTGAATTTCAAGCAAAGCTTCATATGTGTATGTAGATTGAATCTCCTGATTTCATCTTGGTGAGCTGCTTAACTCTGGTGCACTCTGGTCATCCCCAGTAGTCCTTTGAGGTACAGTACATACCATGTTGGCCTTTTCACTTTCTGAAGCCTGTGTTCATGGATACCAGCACTGTAATATTGTGTTTTTGGAGATGCCTCATTAGAAATCCCAGAGTTACATTTCATTCCTTTTGAACAAACGAATTGGCAAGCTGCACACTTTTAACTATGATAGTAAGTGTACAGTATGTGCAGCTTTCATCAACAAAGGGGGTATTTAGAATGGAAAATATTCCGATTAAGAGATTAAATATTGCTGCTGGTTAAATATTGAAGTTCTATTTCATTTAGACTGTCCAGGTGTCCACTGATGTTTCTGCACATACATGTGTAAATAATGGAATATCTTTTCGATCATAATGTTGGCGTTTTGCCAAAATATGGCAAAAAATATGCAATGGTAGGGTTAAGCTTGGACATTAGGGAACTATTATGAAATATTGGAAGATAAGGATACATTTTGATGGGTGCCGATTCACATTGCAGGTGCCTGAATAAAATATTTGTAACCAATTCTTGCATTACACCTTTTGATAGGGTGTTTTTGGTTTCATTTTTAAGAGGTATTCTTGAAAGCCCAGAATTGAGATTTTTTTTCCCTGATATTATTCTGATACTGATAGCTGAATATAGGAAGTCTGCTGTTGTTGTATTCTCTTGTACTTGGCAGTTTTGTGTGATAAAGGTTAAGTTGTTGCGGGGCACTTCCAGACTGATAGAATCTGATGCACAAGACTGACAGCTGCTGTCGGTGCTGACTCTTCATCTGATTTATGACACGTGCTCTCCATTCACAGATTGACAAGCTGGCCGAAGAGCTGAAGGAGGCGAAGACCAAGGTCATCACAGTGCCTGTCCCGGCGCCCCCTCCGCCTCCCCCCCTGCCCACTCAAAGTGGGGTGCCACCTCCTCCCCCTGCCCCCCCCCTCCCTGGGCAGACTGGGCTAGCTCCTCCCCCTCCACCCCCTCCCCCGTTGCCAGGGCAAGCGAGCATGCCCCTGCCTCCTCCACCTCCCCCACTTCCTGGACAAACTGGGATGGTTCCCCCTCCACCTCCTCCCCCTCCGCCTCTTCCAGGTCAAGCATGCATGCCTCCCCCGCCACCTCCTTTGCCTGGTGGCCCGGGCATGCCTCCCCCGCCACCTCCTTTGCCTGGCGGCCCGGGCATGCCTCCCCCGCCACCTCCTTTGCCAGGCGGGCCTGGCATTCCCCCACCACCTCCCCTAGGGCCAGGCGCACCCCCCCCACCACCTGCTCCTGGGGGCTGGGGCATGTCCGCCCCTGTTCTGCCATATGGCCTTGCCCCCAAGAAGGACTACAGGCCAGAGGTGCCGCTCAGAAGGGCTAACTGGTCTAAGGTAGGAAACTGCCACTGCTCTCGCCACCTGTAATGACTCAGACTTTCCCCCAAAGGTGGTGCGTGCGTGCGTGCGTGCGTGCGTACATGTACGTACCAGGAAATTTCATTTTCAGCTCTCAATATAAAGATAAATACGTATAAGTGCTTTTTAAGCTTTGTCATCAAGTCCCCAAGTGATTCCTGCGTTCATATTCCGTTCCTTTTTGTTGTGCAAATTTGCCATGAGTAAATGTATGTACCAACAGCAGAAGAAAGAGAATTTCTGCTGTATCCCACAGTGAGCCATAGCATGTAGTTCTTTTGTGTCTACAGTGTTCGTTTAAAGTGATTACAGTGTGTATTTGCTTGCCACTCTAATGTGATTGGACTCACCGAACCGCAGTTAACAATGTGATGGTAAGGGATACAGCACTGGGGGAAATATGGAATAGGTGGAGGTGAAGCGCTACACATCAGAAATACAGACTTCATCTTGATGAATCCGTACTTTTAGAATCTGTACGGGTCACACTTATAAAAATATGTACAAGGTGTATTGTTATGTATGTTACAAATTACCAAAACCAGATATACATTGTAATGTAGTTTTATATTACAAAATCGGGGATATATGTCTAAAAAGGTGTTGTGAGTGACTTCAATTTCCCCCCCTCGGATTGTGAAAATAGCAGACATGGCTTACTATTGCATTCTTTTTCAGTTTGTAACAAAATTTCAATACATGTATTTCTTTTAGAAAGTAGAGCTGGCAAACAATCAGGATAGAGTAACTGTATATGTAGAGTTTAAAAAAAGGTTTCCAGTTTGAAGAAAACAGAGAATGAAGGAATAAGATTGAATGGTTTGGTTTAGTCGAATGTGTTTGAGGTAAAATGGAGAAGTTAGATTATGGAATCGGTAGAGAATGAATGGCAGTATTTTTACTAGATTCTGGATAATGCACAGAACGGATAAGTCTCATATCAGTTATCTGTATCAAGGGATAAAAATAATTGGTTCATTCAGTTAAGAAAAATAAAAGGGGGAAGAAAGCTTCTTTATAGAATAAAAACAGAAAAAAACATGGTTATAGAAACTGAGTGTAATGAATTGTAAGTAATACCATTAGGCCAGGAGAGACAAAAAAGGACTGCAATAGATGATAAAATACTAGTTATATTTCAGTATTACAACAGTTGCAGAACTATGCAGGTTGATATGAAGTGCTGTGGGCACGTAATATATCCAGCAATAGAAAACCATTAGATGAAAGTGAATGGCTAATATATTGATGGAGGGATGAAATGAACAACATGCTTCAAGCTGAAAAGGGAAAAGCGTTCCTTATTAAGTCATATTAGCATGAATAAAAACAGAAATGTTATAGCTATAAAAAAAAACTAATAATAACAAATAAAACAATACATCTTCAGGAGCTAATGGTGTTTTGCCAGTTGTCCTTAAGGATTGACATTTATAAATGTTTAACAAAACTTTCTGCTGTCAGTCAAGATAGGTTAGTATGCCTTGACTGAACAATTGCTAATGTTGCATAGTTAATATGAAATTAAAAAGGTAGTTTTTTTTTTTTTACAGCAGTTATGATGTTATGAATTTGAATCTCATTAATGGATCTAAAATCAAATAGCAGTAATACAGATGAGTACTCCTGAGTTTGATTTGGCAAGGATCTGTATTACAATGGCTTTTTTTCCTGATTTGTATTAACAATCTTAATTCTAGTAAAGCTAGTCTGGTTTGTAGGTCATGTCAAAATAGAAGTTTTAGTAAATACTGTAGAAGTAGCAGAGGAAATAAAAAAGAGTTCATTGTGACAAGTAAGTGTGGAAAGTAACTAAAATGCATGCAGGGTGATATGACGTATAGTTTAAAGTGTAGAATTAAATAAAGGAATAAGTAATTGTACATTGTTCTATTAAATGCATATTTAAAATATTGTATACAGTGTTGGTCACCTGATTCTAGATTCTAGAAAAGGTTTAGAAGGAGTCCAGAGCAGTGTGATCCTGGGCTCTTTGGTTATGTCCTACACTGACAGAATAAAATAACCAAACTCTTTTAGTCTTGAACAGAAAAGACTGTGAAGGGACCTCATTCCAATATTCATAATCTTCAAAGGCATTGACTAGGTCAGCCCAGTGGACTTCTTTAGAAGCAACAGAAAAATATAAACTAGAGGACACAAAAAGAGACTAAGGGGAGGTATATTTAAAGAGCAGGTGGCACTTTTCTTACACAAAGGGCTGCAATAATCTGTGATGCCAAAGGTGCCATCCTGGCTTCTGAAATGCCTGAATGAGGTCCGTGGATCAGCTGGCAGCAAAGAAAGACGTGCAGAATAGCCTTCCTGCATTTGTAGACCTTCTCATGTTTTTGTGCTGAAAGTAACAGTTTTCCAAGTCGTAAAGGGGTGTGAAGGTATGTCACCTTTCCATTTGGCTTGCAGAATTCTTGGCAAAATAATTCCTCTGCCGCTTTTCCTTACCAGCACTTCATCCATTGAAATTACATTTTTGTAACACCAGCATTGGCAAGAACTGCAACTCAGTACCCGTAGGATGGCAGTCAGCAAAGACCTGCTGAGCTGCAGTATGTGCTTGCTAGCCTGTAATAGTTAAAACATCAAAACTGACTCTATCCTTTTAGCCTTAAGCTACAGTTTAATAGCTTCTCTGGAGTTCATGAACATTTATACTTTTCCTTTTTTCATTTAAGTCTTTTCATTTTCCGAGTGGTGAAAGGCCTTTGACGAGGATGTCACAGAAACTGCTTTTTAATAATCCCGTTTCTTTTAACTGCGCCAGTGAAAGATAATTAGATTGCAGCTAGAAAGGACAGCATTCTTTTGTAATTTAAATTAACATTTTTTTTCCCTGCCTCATTTTTTTCTCTCTCTCTCTGCATTGGTGCACTGGGTAATGAAAGGTTGGTATCCATGGAAGTCACTACCTTTCAGTCACTTTATTTCTGATGAGAAAACGAAAGGACAAAAGGAAGAAAAATAGCTTAATGGTGTGACAGCTATAAAATTTGCACAAGAACTACTTCTTTCTAACAAAGATTTTCAAAAATATTTTTTTCAGAGATGACACAGGAAGACATACGAATCTCTATCATAACAGGATCCCATTGCTAAATCCCAGTTTGCATGTGACAGACTAAGCCAAAAAGACATTTTTACATGGATTGTATTCACAGTATTCAATGATGATCCTTAGGAGGGGGAACATATTTAACCCTTCTGAGCAGTTGATGTGAATTGAACGGTTTCAGGACTTAGGAGGCTGTCGAGTGTGACAGATAACCTGAGTTTGCTTTGGCATACACCTCAGAAGTAAAAACGACGGTACAATCAAGATCTGTCAACTGGCATGTCAGATTAAAATGACTGTCATCTTTGAGTGTTGGAAGGAATGATGGAGCTCTGATGAATACTGACTTGCATGTTAATTACGGGGTGAAGCTACAGGGAAAATAGTGAAGGGAATGAAACCAAACTGCATCAATAGGAGAGTTTTGTGATCTGATAGAGAATTACCGTTTGTACTTTGCCATTGTGTTTTTTTGCCATTTAAAGAAAATTCTTGTCCCGTATTTTAGTGAGATGTCAATTAAAAAAAGCACTTTTCTGTTGACACACTTTACATAATTGCTTTGGGCTCAGATGTTACACAGAGGCTTGTGATGTATTTTTTTATTTTGTCTTGAACTGGATATGTGAAGGGCTTCTGTGTATAGTTATCCACTCGTATTCCCTCAGATTGGTGTAGAGGATCTCTCGGAGAGCAGCTTCTGGACCAAAGTGAAGGAAGATCGTTTTGAGAACAATGAGCTCTTTGCCAAGCTCACCTTGGCGTTCTCATCTCAGACCAAGTGTGAGTGTTTGAGTCTCAGACCTTTTTACATTCAGCAGCATGTCAGTATTTCACTTCCAGAGAATGTTATGACCCTGCCTACACAATATTTAATAGGTTTAGAGCAGGGCATTTTCAAACTCCCTCCAGTCTGGGTGTCAATAGAAATGTAGAGGAATCGGTCCTTCCAAATCTGTTTGTGTGTAATACCAGCTCCCACACAGTTCATCCGATCTACCAATGGACTTGGTTACCTGCAGTTTTTGAAAACAAAGTGTTGTAGTTTGTTTTCATCTTAAAGGATTATGCACATTATGAATACATTTTCTTTCATTTTTGCTTTACATGTCTTGAGTCTTGTAAATTTACAGCATCAAAATTTATAGCAGGGAAGCTGTGCCAGCAGCCATTTTTTTCTGACGTTTTCAAAGTATTCGTTTTTCTTGTTCCCAGTCTGGGGTTTACTTTGTTTGCATTTACCCCCTTTTTAAATGGCCATATCTAAAGCTTTTGAAGTGTCATATGATTATTCTGCCTCAGAATGTCAGTACTGTCTTCCAGTACATTGTGTGCATAAAGTTATTACACTGACTTTTATGAAGAGGTAATAGACAGTTTCCATGATGAATATTTTGTAATCAGATGATGGCCTAATGAAGAATGATAATGATATTATTGACTTCAAAGGTGTAATTTACTTTCGTAAAGATTTGAGAGCACTGAGTACAGTAGCTTATTGTAAACTCATAAGTCCTGTTTTAGCAAAAATGTCATAGTACATTATTTTTGTCTCTTATCAGAGCAAATTAAAACTCTAATTTTATTCAAATCAAGTCTGAATAAAATCAAGTATATTGCAGAATTTTCAATTCAGTAGGTTGTAATGTTCACATCAGTTTAGTGGCTCGCTAACTTAATTTTCTATTCTCTTCCATGCACCTGCTGAACGACACAGCTTCTAAAGGTAAGAGCGCTTTCTTACTTTAATTTAAGGACAGTAAAGCCTTGGTGTGAAGTTACATTTTGTTAGAGAAATGAGGTATTTCGTGAAGAAGAGAACCGGTCGTTTTCTGGGAAAGATTTATGATCCTTTACTTGAGCTCACGACTCGGGGAAAAATAGGAAACCTGCTCATCTAGAGAATGTTCTCTCTAAATGGGTTGCAGAATGGCTTGTGTGGGTGGTAATGCAGCATTGAGTGGTATTTTCTCAAAACCGCCTGGAGAATGGCTTTGGGGGCCTCATAGATGTCACTGCTGTTCTTAAACTTTTAATGCTCTTAATTCACACATAAACGTACACTTTGGGTCCATGCAGTAGGTAAGTTAATATAGCAATCTGGCTTTTTCATATTAAGTTTTGTTATGCTCTAGTAATTAAGGGAAAAGGTCCCCTGTACTGAAGTGGATCATTTTCAAAGAAATGTCTATTCATTATATAAACAGTGGACAGTAATATTTTAGATAGGTGTTCTTTGCAGGGACCAGTTTTCTTTGATCCCAAATAAAGAGGCTGAGTTCGGAATTTGCCTTTTTCGTGTTCTGCTGAATTAGAAACCGTTCCTGTATTTCTGTACTTATAGTTACAGAGCCATTGAAGAAGGAGAATACATTTAAGTGACAATCTGGTATTTACTACATTCCTCTCCACCTGCTTCTCTTTCTCTGAAATGCTTTGCAGACATTCATCATTATGTATTTGCTTCAATAGGCTCTGTGCTTTGTACTTTGAGTAGTTGCAGAATTATTTCCAAAGCGAACATTTTTTTCCCTACTTCCAGAAATATCCCAGGGAAGAAAAAGGTTGGAGTGGTGTTGGTCGCTGAGTTATACAAAGTGATCCGAAAGACTTCGCTAATGGGGTCAGCCCCAGTGTGTGTTAATGGCTATGCTTCAAGAAATAGTTTTGAGAGGCCATTGAAATCTGTGGCTGTAAGCAGTGATGGCACAGCAAAAGCATTGCTTCTTGTTTTTATTCGATGTCATACATAGTTTAGTATAATATCAGTGAGACCTATTTAAGGAGACCTTCTTGATCTCCATGTTCTTACCAAAATGTGTAAAGCTTTTATATACTTCATTGAAATGTGTATAGTTCTTAATTGATGAATAGATAAGTAATGCATGTGTTCTGTTCTACAACTGTCTAACCATTAGAGGGAGCCTTTTTGGATTTAAATGACAAATGTGGAGCTTAAGTTTGATGGGGTTCCTACTATAATTGGAATAGTACCCCGTTATGGCTTGAAGTTGGAAGTAAAGAAATAATGTGCATCTTGGTAGCAAAGATATTCATGAAAATTGCTGATAAGCGTCATTGTGGAAGTGCTTAGTGGTTTCTTGCTTTATGTGTGGAAAAATATGTGGATTTGAAGTTGTACTGTTTATTATGTACTGGAAAGTGTTTTGTGACAAGGCCTAGTTGGGTTTTTTGAATTTGAGTGGATTTTTAAATAGTTTGTAAGTTAAGCATTCACTTGTTCTTAATTTTGTGTCTGGCTCATTTGTTTTGTGTGTATAAGAAAGCCGGTGCTCCTATTCCCAATTATCTTTGTTTGCTTATATCCTGGTTTCCTGCCGGGACTGGATGTCAGCCTCCTGTCTACAGAGGTTAGAGTAGCCATTAGAACCTGCTTTCCCTGAGGGGTGCAATGGATTTAGCATCTGTCTGCAAACACTTGTTTCTGTCAACTGCTTTAAAACACTCGCACTGATATATGCCAAACAGTGTAAAGTATGCTAGGCTTGGAAAGGGCACTGCTGCTAACTCTTGATAGTGTACTTGCTATTCCCCAGAAGGGGATTTTGAGCAATAAGCCAGGGTTTAAAATTCACTGAAAACATGCCAGGCACTAATTTGGCTTCATTTATAAGGCAGAAATGCAAATCAACACCCAACAATATTTAGGAGTTACAATGCAGCAGGCAGAGATAAGATGCTGATTAGCTAACAAGGCACTTCGGAAGCGGAAATTGGTGCTTTCAGGAATATTTAATGTGTTTCTGAGTCCAAGAACATTGTATCAAAGCAGCATTACTCCAGATATAAGATGTTTAAAATTGTGTAACAGGATGTAGGATGAAGTATAATGTTTTTTTAGACCTGTTCATTTCATGTGTGCTCTGCGACGTTCATAGGCTCAGAGCAATTGTAAGAAAACCATTTTATCTGCACCCCCAATGAGCTAGTGTACAATGTACATAATCAATTTTGACCACATTTTATTTTTTCCAATACAAGTCTTGCTGCCCTTTGGATCACAGTCTCTTCAATTTAAAACAAAGTTTTCAAGAAAATCAAATGTCAGAGCTGACAGTGCTTCTCATTTCTTGTATATGTTTATTTAGCATGTGTAGTCTTCCTTGATGCAATATAACCTTTTATTACATCTGACGCAAAACACACTGTGACCTTTTCATCATTATTTGTCCGATTCCATCTGTCTCTTTGTATATATTTGTATTCATCTCTGGTCCTCTTTTGGTCATATTCTAGTACAGAGGATTGGAGAAAGAAACAGGGGTAATAAAGGAATATTGAAAGATAAATACATTCATTGAGACACGGCTACATAAATATATTACAGGGTCCCTAAAGTATCAAATCCCTACTGGGTTAATCTGACTTTTTTCTATTGCTGTTACCATAGAGCAGTGGGATGAAGCAGGTTATGGATGAGAATTAAACAACCCACTTCTCCTTTAATCAGTGAAGCAAAACAACCACATTACCATTCCCAGATTCATGAACTAGAAAGAGAGAATTCTAGAGCTTCATGAAGGAAACTAGCTTCATGAAGGAAAGTAACATATCAAAACTTTTGTGACATTTGTTCCATTTCTTGATCTATTGTCATCTATAATCAAGGGAGCATTACAGATTTTCTGGTGTCAAGACCAATTCAATCCAGTCCTATTTTTTTTTAAATCTTCATGGGACCATAGTAACTTGTCTCTTCTTGAATAAAGGCTTAATTTAGAATTCAATGGGAGTTCTATATCTCTCCCATTAAGACAGTGTTTTAATAGTACCACTGATCTGTAATAGTAGCTATAATTTGTTGCTTTGAAATGTCGACCTCAGTTTTACCGTGTTTTTGTCATTACAGTCTAAGTATCTGAAGGTTTTTTTTTAGCGCACTAGCACTCTGCTTGATTGCTGCCTTTTTGAAGTCTGTACCTCAACTAGTCCAATTAGTTCAAAGATAGTGTTGATATGCCTGCAATTATTATTATGATATGATATTAATGTATTCTATCATCCTAAAGGAATTTCTTAATATAAAGTATGTATAAAGATAGGGTCTAATTTTCAACCTTGGGGATTTTTAGCCTTTCACAGCACACCAGTCAATATGACATGGTGCCATCTGGCAATGAAACTGGTTTCACCTAAGATGACTAATAAATTCAGTGACCTACTTAATTATTTCTGGTAGGAAGCTGAAAATTTTATCTTATTAATAAGTGTTTAATGATCTATTAGATCAAAAGCTCCATTAAAACACATGGTCAAAGCCGACAGTGACAGTCTGTGATTTTAGTTGCTTTTATCATCTGATAATCAAAGTGACCAGTGAGATTAGCTTTGGATTGCTGTCACATGGATGTTTGTCCTTGTGCTTTATTTAAACATTTAGACATAGAGATTCAACCTTTGTTCAGATAACATTTACACAAAGGTCTTTCCACAAAATAGTATCCCATGCTTTACAAGCTTACTAACAAGCACATATACAGTAGCTGTCAATGTAACTCTTCCCCTCTCATATGTTCTGGAAATATATTGGTTATTGTTTTGCATTTAAAAAAAAAAACTGGTGTTTCTTGTTTTCATTGAGTTATAACAGTCATGGAACTAAGATTTTCTCAGTTCAAGAGATCCTGAATTATAGATTAGCCACATTGCTGCTATTTTGCAAAACTACAGAAACAGTTGCTGAATATGTATATATCCACTTTAATTTTAAAGAGATGATGTATGCAAAACTACAGTGATTACTAAGGATGTGAGGATTTATTCAGATTATTGTTAAGGCTCTTTACTCATCCAAGGAATGGTAGAGGATGTGTTTTGGGACCAGATCGAGTTTGAGGTTTACTGTGTCTACCGTAAAGCTGAATAGATTTTATGCATTTTTCAAATAGTTCCTTCACATTGAATCCAGCAGGACCTTGTTATCAGAGCATATTATATTTCAGAAGAGATATGGAGAAACAGAAATGGTTTTATGTAGAGTTCAGTGTCTGGTTTGAAAAACTTGATAGTTTATAAATAGGAGAACTAATGCAGATGCTTAAAAAGAAGCTATATTTTGGGTTTGTGTAGTAGAATCATGCAATCTGTAACTATGTGTGACACACTAAGCTTTAGCTATTTTTCTGTTTTCAGATTAAATTAATAGCAGTCACAAACTTGTGCACACCTTTCCTTTGGCTACAATCAGAGTAATCTGACAGAGGGCTTTTATAATTAGTTCACTGTCATTCCTAGCTAAAAGGAAAACTTTAAAGGCATAAATCGATAGCTTTTTTGCCTTTAATGTAATCTGACATTGACTTGCCGTGACTCATTTTGTGGGCTTAATTAGATTGTCAGTTTTAAATTAGGTCATTTTTCTTCTTAATTGGTGTACAAATGTCATCTTTCATAAAGTTCAGAGGACGAGTGTGTGAACAATTTTTCAGCGCTAAGAGTTAACTTACAGGAAAGGAATGTAGTGCTCTGTAAAGAGTGGAATGTTGTACCAAAAGAAAAACATTCAGCACTTTCAAGTTATACATGTCATTCAGAAGTCAATATAGTGTGTTATTTACTTTTATTGATAACTTTCAAAATTTGTATTCCCATTTTTTAAAAATGAAGTGCTTTTAGTGCTTCTACTATGTACTCATTAGCTTAGTTAAGTGAGCTCTTATGTGGGTGTATTCATTATGTCCTGTAAGGCAATTTTGACAGCCTGCC